TTCACCTGTCACTCTGAACGCCGAATATTTTTGGATTTATTTATGTTAATGCAATCAGATTCATTGCATTCTCTCTAGTCATTGATCTAGGCTGTCTGCTGACGAAGAATAGAAAATAATGCGGCCATTCTTTCTATGATCTATCGAATGTTTGATAATCTATTTAGAACCCTCATCACAAATATTTTCTGATAAGACCAAAATAGAAGGTCTCAGGATTGGCCATTCGCTTATATCTACCGAATGTAAGCCGGTGTTGTCAATCAAGTTATGCTCGATGGGGATCGGCCGAACAAGCTCGAATTCTTCAGCCACCTCCAGGATGTCTACACCGCAACTCCTATAAGTAGAATATAGCTCAACCGATCAGGGGTATTTGTGGTGAAACGGAAAGAGGCGCTATTACATAATGCTTTTGATACGACCTCCCTAGTGCCAGTCTGTTTAAATCAACTAAGTCTTGGACTGATTTTCCTAGGCCTAATGGGTCCGATGACCGACGAAGTGATTTGAATCCCCCATAGTTAAGAGAATTTGGGAAAACATGACAAATTTCGAGATGTCAAGCCCTGATAACGGATGTATGGTTCGCAACACACTTTTCTGCGAGCAGAGAAGCATATGCACACAAGCTTAGGCACACAAACCTTACAGAAAACTTGGGTACATATAGCAGGCACAGAATTCTGGCATGCAGAGAGCTTCGAATCAATACACAACAACAAAGATAGACACACACAAATACACATACATGTGTATGAATGTCCATACGCAGGTGTGAGGATCAGAGTAGGCTAAAATGCATGTGTAAACCTTTGACCCGTGTCTCATGTTTTTCGTGTGCAGGTGAAGTTCAACGGCCGCGAAGTCGACATCGACCAAGGTGACCGAGCCCATCAGGCTCGCTTCGCGACGTACACTTATATCGGAAGCATTGACCAGGTCAGTCGGTATCCATGGCATGTGTGGACTCGCGAACTTTTCGGCGGATGTATCCAGTCGATACGAATAAACAACGACAAGTTTCTGAACTTTCACAGGTTTGGGAGCATGGCCTAAAGACGGTTTATGCATAAAAAATTTTCATAAAGTTATATTTATTTCAATTGAATAATTTACCCAATATGAATCAATTACATATATTTCAGAAGTGGATTGACCTCGTTGTCGCAACTTGGTCCATTGCCTTAGTAGTTATCATAATTTCCAGCATCAGACCGTGGACTTGGTACACATTTAGACGAGTGGAATGCAAACAAGTCAGAAGTTGCCAAAGTGAAAGTGGGCCAGGACAGAAAGAGGATTGATAGTGTAACCGTTTTCGGCAGAACGTTGTTCGAAGGATTGGCTACACTTGTCTCTTTGATGAGTTCATAGCTTGCTGCGGAGAATGGCAACATTCAGTAATGATGCCGACTACGATGCCGGCGAAAAGTCTGATAATGTACTAAGTCCACGCTCTGATGCTGTAACTTATGATGACTACTACGGCAGAGAACTTCAGACAATGTGCGTTCTACTAAATCACCCTGACAGCAAAACCAAATTGCAAAATCGTGGTCAACCCACTTCAATAAATCGAAAGAAGACTGCAACCATACTGGGGGCCACACCATCCTGTCCTTTAAGTTGGGTTGAAGGAATATGGTTGAAATGAACTGACGTATTACACACATACAAAGCTAGTTTCAGAGAAACATATGTTCGGTCACACCCGTCTTGAATTCATATATTCGTAGTCGTGTTAGGTGAGGCTAGAAGTAGCCAATCGAATCTTGGGAGGCCTCAAAAAATCAAGAAATCGGGTTTCGATAAGTGATGTCTGTCACGGTGGTACATGTGGTACGGATCAACTCTGATGAATATGGTTTGATGACCCTTTTCGGATTTTCGGTGAGATCAAATTACAATCCTCTTCCAGCCTACTTTTTCCCAACCCCAGATATTAAGGGAATCTTGGAGAACCCACTATACTTGCCAAACCGAAACGGTACGACCTTATCATCTTGTGTGCTGAAACTTTATCATGCTATAAAAGTAAGTTAACCTCGTTGTCGCAACTTAGTCTTGTTGTCAAGGCGACTATGTAGAACGCACCTAGTCCGAAGTCGTCTG